ATGTTCATGGACTACATGTAATTCGTGTACATATGGATTATATATATGTATACATATATTCCCTAAATATAAAAACCATTGTATAAAGTTTTTTCCCCCAAAAAATCCGAAATTTGGCCACACCTTGCCACATTCCCACATGACATGAGTTCTCAATAGCCTATCCTCCCAACTGTGGTCTTACACAAATAAAGTTGACTTCTCATACTCCCTGCCTAACCCTTGCAGATCCCTGCCTCTTATCATCCTTATATTTCATTGTCTCTCAACCTGTTTAAAGGACCGGGGGTTGGGGGGCAAGGTGTCAAAGGTGAAGGCCCTAGTCTGGGTTTAATATCTTGGGCCAGCTCAAAACAGCAGCTAGTGTTTTGAGCTCTAAGCGAACACTCTAGACCTTTAGTCATGTTTTCTTTCTCCAACAAAACAAATTTTACTTTAAAGAGGAGGAGTACAACTCTTATACATCAAATTTATTTAGTTTTAATCTGGGCTGGAAATCAGGAAACCTGGGTTCCATTTGTGTCTTCCTCACTTTGGATGGTTAACATGTCCTTACGGTCCCTTATCATAAGGAAAATACTGCTTTAATTCATAGCAATTTGGAAAGATAGATCCTATGGAAAATGGAAATGCTACTTGTAACTTAGTTTGAACATTAAGACTTGTGTTTGTTTTTTAGGCATTTTTGATGATTTACCTATAATCTGATCATTGCTCTACTATATTGGTATGCAGAATAGCAGAAATCATTCTTTTTGTGCCGATACTTTCAGCATAGACTTTACCACATCAATCAGTTCGGGAAACTCCGTCTTCTGAAAGTGGCCACGGTCAGTGAATTTGTAAAATTTGGCTTCCAAACTATCTGCCACTTCTTGTTGTTCCTTCCAGGGTAGGAAAGGATCATCAGTGGAGCCAAACTGCACAATGTGAGGGCAGTTGGCTTTGATCTTCTCCCACTGCCAGGGGCGGTTGAAGTAGCCTAAGGAGAAAAATATATATAACCTATTGGTGCCAATGGATAATTTCTATTCTAGCCATTCTGAAATATCTAGTGAAGACCGTGGCAGACACACAAAGAATCAGAACCTAAGTGGTTTTCAGATCTGTAGGGCTTGATACCATAGGTACTTGTGAAAGGGAAGTATGGCTCATAGACAGGCCTCGAGGGTTCAATTCTAGACCATGGATTAGAAATGGTTACAACCTCTCATAGTGCCAAACTTATAGCTAAAGATGGGTGGTAAATATTTTTCATGTGCCGTTAGGTTTTTTTAAGCCTAACCAAAAGACAACCGCTGTTTTATAACCTGAACAAGCAGCCCTGTGACTAGAGGAAGGGCTCTTCTGGGGTTTCTGCCTTCAAACTTACCACTTGCACGCTCGTTTTCATCCCCTAAGTCTGATGTGTATGCAGACACTAATACAATCGCATACACTTGATGTGTTTCTGCATACCTGAAGAGAGAGAAATGATGTCAGCTAATATTTAATGTTAAATATGATCACCAAAAAGTCAGTTAACCACTTACCTCATTTGGTTTAGCTTACAAGAAGCATGTGCTATATGCTATTGGAGTTAATATGAGAAATAGTAAGGAAACTGCAGAACTACAAGCCCAATGGTTACTTGATGAGTTTCTACTCATTTTTCAAGGTAGTCCAAACCTCTTCTGCAATCCTTTCCCAATACACATAAAAGCGTAATCATTTTCTTCAGTGTGTGCAATCTACCATTAGTATGCATCAGCATTACTTGATTACACATAGATTTCCAGGCTCAGTCCTAAAGTATGATTCAAAAGGTTGGGAAACCCGGCAGGTGTGGCTCAGTGGTTGAGGGTCGGCCTAAGAACCAGGAGGTCATAGTTTGAATCACAGGGCACATGCCCAGATTGCAGGCTTGATCCCCAGTGGGGAATGTGCAAGAGGTAGCCAATCAATGATTCTCTTTCATCATTGATGTTTCTCCCCCTTTCTCTCTGAAATTAATAAAATACATTTAAAAAAAATTTTAAAGGTTGGGAACAGGGCCCAGGAATCTGCATTTTAAGGCATGCCACCTCTCCCAACCCTATTTTAAGAAATACTGTAAATAGCAGAAATGTATCTCTTTTACCACACACTCCACATTGCATTGTATTACTTACTAGTATTCAGTGTTATATCTATCTCCCCAATGTAGACCATCAGCTCCTCAAGGGCACATCTGAACCTTGATCTTTGTGACCCTGGTGCCTAGTATAGTGCCTGGGAAACAGTTAACTATTTGCAGACATTTTCCTCAAAAACTAGGCTAAGGTAAGACAGAGAATGATAACAGTTTCAAAGAGCCATAGTGCCAGGAAAGATTTATGGTTGGTATTTTGTATGTGGGCCTAAACTTTTCCTCAACCTTTTGTTTTAAAAAATGTTCAAACCTACAGAAAAGTTAGAATTACAAGCACCTAGATTCATTAATTTTGCTACATTTCACCCTAAATCTTCAGCATGTATCCCTAAGACTAAGGCTATCCTCTTATACAACCACTGAATAATTTAACATTGAAACATATTAACTCTATTGTCCCCCCAACTGTACCAAAAATGCTCTTTAAAACTGCTTTTTCAATTCTAGATCCAGTCAAAGATCATACAGTGCATTTGGTTTTCATGACAGTCACTTTAAAAATTTTTTAATATATTTTTATTGATTTCAGAGAGGGAGGGAGTCAGAGAGAAACATCAATGATGAGAGAGAATCATTGATTGGCTGCCTCCTGCAAGCCCCACATGGGATCGAGCCCACAACTGTGGGCATGTGCCATTGACCCGAATCGAACCTGGGACCCTTCAGTCTGCAGGCCAGTGCTCTAGCCACTGAGCCAAACCAGCTAACGCTAAATGTTTTGTTTTCAATAACATCAGCAGTTTTTAAAAATTTAGGGCAGTTGTCTTATACATTATCCCCTAGCCTGAATTTACCTGTTTCCTCACTGAGGTTAGACATTTTTGGCAAGAATACTACATAGGTGATGTTGTGAATCTCCCAGTTCATCCATCAGAGGCACCTGAAGCCTATTGGTGCCATTATTGCTGAGATTAACTTTGATTACTTGCTCTGAAGGCAGCAATTTTCAACCTTTTTTTATCTCATGGCACACATAAACTAATTACTAAGATACTGTTGCACACAAAAAATACATACTTTTTGCCAATCTGACCAAAAAAAGCATGATTTTGATTCATTGTCACCTGATGGCTATTATGTTGGCTGTTTTGTGTTTTGTTTTTATCTGACAATCTCAGGAAAAAGAGATCGGTGCTCTTAGTCAGGCATTGCATGTTTCAAAAATTCTTGTGGCACACCAGTGTGCCTGCTGTGGCACGCAAGTTGGTAATTGCTTAAGGGTGATATCCATCAAATCCTTCCATTGTAAAGACATTATTTCCCCGTTGTGATTAACAAGTAATGTGTGGGGTGGTCCTCTGTGTTACTGTCCATCTCTACAATCCCCCATGGTTTTGTATCTATTTTTCTCTGCCTACCTTAACTTTAGAAGTTAGTTCTTGGAAGGTTGCTCACAATCCTGCAATCGGTTGCAGGGATCTTTAAAAGAAGGCACATCTTTATTAGCCAATGGCCTGAGAAAAATTCAGTTGGCCTTGAGTTGGTACAGATTTCGGCATAAAGGGATTTCTTCATTTTCCAGACAAGCCCTGGCAGCTTATAAACACTGACTATACCATAATTCTGTAGCTCCATATTGCAAAGCATTATTATTGTAGCTTTGATTAGTGTGGCTGAAAGGTTATGGAATTGGCAAAATTCTTTGACATGCAATTCATGTGACATCCTGAAAGACTGCTTGGGATGACACTAGATGAATAAAAACCACAATCCTTTGTCATTCAGCCTGGCAAATATGGAAGAAACCCAACCCGAACAGGCTTATTCCGCCAGCTAAGTCCCTAACCCCTAGGCCAGCGGTTCTCAACCTGTGGGTCGAGACCCCTCTGGGGGTCAAACGACCCTTTCACAGGGGTCACCTAAGACCATTGGAAAACACATATATAATTACATATTGTTTTTGTGATTAATCACTATGCTTTAATTATGTTCAATTTCTAACAATAAAATTGGGGGTCACCACAACATGAGGAACTGTATGTATTAAAGGGTCGCGGCATTAGGAAGGTTGAGAACCACTGCCCTAGACGTTACAACCCTAAAGGGAGAGATGTAATGTTCTTTGGTGATCATCAGGAACATGCCCATGAATCCTAAGGATGGGGGGTTTAAGGAGAGAAGGAGTAACAGTCTCTAACCGCTAACAAATATTTACTGAACACCGACCATATGCCAGACACTGTTGTAGACAGTGGGGTTTTAGAGGCAGAGTGAACAAAGTCCACCCTCATTGATCTTACATCCTATTGGCAGGAGACAGACAAGAAATAAACAGGATATCAGATGGTGAAAAATTGTATAGATAATAAGGGAGATAATCTATAATAATAAAAGCATAATATGCTAATCAGACCAGACATCCTTCCAGGCGAAGCCTTAGCAGCAGGGGCTGAGAAAGAGGCGCCACCATGGTGGGTGAGGGCCAAGGAAGAGGCAGCAGCAGTGATGGCGGAAGGGGACGAGCCCCTCACATGAATTTTGTGCATAGGGCCTTTAGTAAGGTCTAAAGGGAATAGGAGCCAGTGAAGTGAGGTGGTTGTTTCAAATGGACTGATTAGAAGAGGCCTCACTGAAAGGGAATATTCGAGCAGAGCCTGAAGAGGAGGAGAAAACCATGCAGGTATCTAGGGACAGAGTTCCAGGTAGAACAAGAGCAAGTACGGGCCTAAGGTAGGCGCACACTTAGCGTGTTAAGGAACTACAATAAGGTCTGTAAACCAGGTTGGGGGCAGTGAAGGTAGAGATGACATCGGAGCTACTCAGAGCCTTAAAGGCCCAGGAGTTTTTCTGAAGGCATGGGCAGCAGCTGGGAATGGAGCCACTAATGTTTTTAAAAGATCACTGGGTCCCAGTAAAAAAAAAAAAAAAAAAGGTTTTAATCCACTAACCAAACCAGGAAGGATTACAATAAATTATGTTTCCCCTTTTGAGGTCAGCACTAGGTATTTCCTCTACAGTGGAAACCAGATATACACAAGGTATTTCCCAAGAAGACGGTTGGAGCCCACACGGTGATAATTCAACAAGGATCACACCTCATGGCCGCGATGGCCCCGGAACTGTGGCCTATGATGATGGTCCTCTCGTCACAATGCAGCTCTGTCTCCATGAAGGGCAGCCAGATGCTCTCTCGAGCTGTAACTAAGGTTCAGGGTAAAGAAAGAGTCTGTCATTTGATAGGGACAGCCTTCATCTAATGCTGTCCGCCTTTCTAATAGGTGACCGCTCAGCAGTTCACAACTTTAAAACTTCAGGATCACAGTGGCAGTGGAGCCATTTTAATAGACACAGTTGCATGTTGCTGTTGGAAAGAAATCTGTAGTTTTGTTTTTATTTTTTACCATTTTCTTGTAAGAGGAGATAATAAATTATAGAACTCTGGAGTTTTAAATTTTCCAACTTAAAGGACAATGTTCTCTCTCAAATTTGTACATTATTTCTTTTCAAAACGGAAATTCCCAAGACAAGTCATAGCTAAACTCAGAACAAAAGTGTCATTGTTATACTTTTTAAATATTAGGATCTCATAGATGCTGTAAAATTTTATCCTATCTCTGCCTCAAGTGGAACACCCATAACTTTTGCCTGGAAATAACTGTTGATTTATAGAAGGGAAAGTCAAGTTGCTTGCAAAGTTAAAAATTAAATTTTACCAAGTCCGAATACTTTTATTTTTTTCCTTTTTTTAAATCCTCACCCAAGGATATGTTTTTATTGGTTTTAGAGAGAGAAGAAGGGGGGTGGGAGAAACATCGATCAGTAGCCTCCCATATATGTCCTGACGAGGGATTGACGGTATATGCCCTGACTGGGAATCCAACCTCCCACCTGTAACCTTTTTTTGGTGTACAGGATGATGCTCCAGCCAATTGAGCCACCTGGACAGGGCCCAAGTGCTTTTCTTGGTCCTTACTAGAATTGTCTATTAATTTTTTTTTATATACCCTCCTCCCCAAACTACTTGTGATCATTCATTCTTAGGTATATATTCTCTTAGGCTGCTCTACTTGTTCTCTACCAGGAAAATGCAAGATCAAAACCCAACAAGATGAAGCTATTACTCACTTGGATCAGGCATGTTTTTAGCCAAACACTGGAAACCAGGTATCTATGACATGAAGGGGAGAAAAAAAGCTATAATAAACAGCTTCGTTACAACTAATACTTTGCTAATAAGAAATAAGACCAAAAAAAAGAAAGAAATGAGACACCTGATATGATCTTTATTCAATAAGTGTTTGCTTATGTTATGAAATAAAGTGGGTTAAGCACTACAGGATTACATATGAATATACAATCCTCATGTGTCTGTTATTCTATATCTAGCCAGCTCTGTAGGTCTCTATATAGAAATGCTTATATCTGTAGAGAGGGTATGATTGAATGTGTTCTAGACAGAATGACCTGGAGCCAAACAGACTGTGTGCCATGGAGCAGATAAAATGTGGAACAGAAGGTTGGAGATCCCATCCTCTTCGGCAGCTCCAGCCATGGTTTTCAGCCACCACCCAGGTATTTTATTCTAGAAACTTCAGAGCTCTAGAGGTCAGCAACCCAGGAAGCAATCTTATTGTCTGGTTATGGAAGAGAGTTGAAAAAAAACAGCCAGATGTACAAGACAACCTACAGTAGAATGCCATTTCTATAAAGCTCACAAAGAAGCCAAATTAAACAATATGTGTTTAAAAGATACATACAGAGGTTGCAAAGGTACTTTAAAAAGAGGAGCAAATGAAAATAAAATCAGAATGGCAGGGAAATGGGATGGGAGCACACAGATGGCTTCTATTGGTAATGTTCTAGATTTTAGTTTGATGATGGATTCTCAGGAGGAAAAAACCATGCAGGTATCTAGAGACAGAGCGTTCCCGGTAGAATAAGAGGAAGCATGGGCATATACATTAGGATTCATAATTCACATACATCTCACATATATCCTTTGTATACATTCATTAATATTAGGTGTTGAATTTTAAAGAATCTGAGCCAGGGAGCAAAGGGAACAGCTGTAAAACTTTATGGGAACTTCCAAATCTGAACCAGCAGCAGATACAGGGAGGGGGAGGGGACTCGGTCTCTGCAGTTCCAGGAGGTGGTGCGTTGTACTCTTAAGAGCTAAGCCCTCAGAGAAATCCTCCAGGGAGTTTTATCAAAGTGAAGAAGTGTAGCAAAGGGGAGAAATGAAAATACACAGGGTTTGGGGTCGAGGAGGAGTGGGGAGACACGTTCAAATTTCAGTCCTCCATCCCTTCCGTCCCCTCCAGCTCCAGGCTGATTTCCCAGCGCAGCGAGGCGTCTCTTACCTGATCCAGCCTCTTCTTCACCCAGCAATACCATCCGTGGGCCGCAATATCCACGCCTCCATTCCCGGGAACAATTACCGCCTTGCAAGGAGAAGCCATGAACGCAGGTGAGCCAGAGTACCCCGGCTGGCTGCCGATCCTGCAGTGCTTAGAGCCCTAAAGTGAGCCTGCACTGCGGCATTCTGGGGATTGTAGTTCTAGGGTGCCAATAGGGTAGTTCATTCACTCTAGCCTTCCTTACCCCACAGGGCACCCAATAGATATCACCTTTTACTTGCCTCTTACTGGCGTTCGCATTCCCTCCTCCCTCCCTTAATTAAGACAGGTTGTGATATATCCAGAATGTGTTATCTCTTTACTAGAATTATTGGTATTTCCACAGGAAAGTGTGCTTTTAGTTCCAAACATACAGAACACAGCCTATTAGTTGAGGATTCGTGGAATCCTTATCATTTTTCCTTCTGATTTCAAAATAATTCTTAGTATAATAGTCAATTTCAGCCCTGGTTTTTATTTTTTATTACTTTAAATGCATCCTTTAAAAAGTTTCAGTTTGCTTAGAGAATATTGATAACAATAACTTAAACCGATTTAGAGACTAGAGAAACTGAGATACCAAATGAAATGGTTTACCTATTATAATATGGCAATCCTGAAATTTTAGGAACTGATCCTATCTTATATATTCAAAGCTTATTGACTTGATGTGGACAGAGTGTGTATTATAAATGGGAATGAAGAGGAAAGTACTAATTCATTGCTCTGCCCATGGACTTACTCGCTGTGTTCATCACATGTGTGTTAGCATCTGACATTGAGAAACACTCCAGCAGTTTATATTTTGAGCAGGTGCAAATAGATGATCAATGATACACTGCCGCAGTATGTCTAGAAAAGCAAGACATACTTTTCTCTCTTGGATCTTAGACTCCAGATTTTTTAAAAATATATTTTATTGATTTTTTACAGAGAGGAAGGGAGAGGGATAGAGAACTAGAAACATCGATGAGAAAGAAACATCGATCAGCTGCCTCCTGCACACTCCCCACTGGGGATGTGCCCGCAACAAGGTACATGCCCTTGACCGGAATCGAACCTGGGACCCTTGAGTACGCAGGCCGACGCTCTATCCACTGAGCCAAACGGGTTAGGGCGTTTTATTTATTTTTTTAATATATTTTATTGATTCAAATTTTTTTAAAAGGTCAGGGTTATTTAACTTTAAATGTGAACTTATTCACTGAAGAAGAAATGAACTACTGATCCACACAACAACATGGATGAGTCTCAAAAGGATTATGTTGAGTGAAAGATGGCAAACAAAAAAAGACTATGCACCGTATGATTCCACTTATTCAAAACTCAGAGAGTCCTTCCTTGCATCTATCATTTCTCAAATTCCTCCAGGTTAAAAATTCAATATGCCTAGGTGCCATATTTTGGGGTAGTGTGTCCTGAACCCTATCAAAGGAGGGGCCAAGGATAACTCTAGCTTCCAGGCTGAGTAACTGGGAGAATAGTGTCTCTAAGCGAAGTAGAAAATACAAGAGGCAAGTTAATTTAGGGGGGAAATATGAATTTAGTTTAGGACATAACAAGATTGAGATGCCCGAGAATATCAAGATATCCAACATGTTGTTGAATATATGAATCTGATGTTACAGAAGTATAAGCCTAATATATAGAATGTAGATTATACACAATGTATCATATCTCAGGAGAATTGTGGAAGATTTTGAAATAGTCAAAAGAGAAGTTTCTATGGAATACTGTGCCGGGAGCCAGTCCATCCTTGCTGTTTCAAGGGACCTGGCATATGGCATACTGTTCTTAATATGTTTGCTCACCTTCTTGGCACTATGTGTTTTAACCAAGGTCACCTCTCCGAGAAAGGTTGTTTCCCCAGGTAGAGATTTCCCCCGGAAGGTAGGGAGGTAATAAATCCGCTTAACTAAGTGCCAGACGGGTAATTAATCACTTTAACTATGAAAAATCATGCTTAAGCTACATAATCTTTACTCCCTGGAATGGAGATTAGAAACGCCCTAACCTTTGGAATAGAGATTGATAGGATTGGAATCAACTGGTATAAATACAGATGTACCAAGACAATAGGAGACAGAACTTAGAACTCAGAACTTCGGCGACAGAACTTAGGACACAGAACTTAGAAGACAGAACTTACACAGAACTTAGAGACAGAACCTAGAGAGGCAGAACCGAGAGACAGACCCGAGACACAGAACTTAGAACACAGAACTTAGAGACAGAAGAACTTCGCTGGAGAGAACATGGCAAAAGATCCTGGACAGAACCTGGCTACAGAACTTGGTTGGAGAACCTAGACAGAACCTGGCTGAAGAACCCGGCTACAGAACCTGGTGACCGAACCTGGCTGGAGAACCTAGCGAAAGAACATGGCTACCGAACCTGGCTGGAGATCCTAACCAGAACTTCGCTGGAGATCCAGACCAGAACTTGGCTGGAGATCCTGGCTAGGCTGCTGATCAACTGAACGCTGGCTCCGTGTCTTTCCTTCTTCGCCGACTCCGGCCACACCTTTGGGGACCCCTGGACCTGCTGGGGTTGGACCCTGGCATCTGGCGCCCGAACAGGGACCCCTTGGTAAGCGCCCCGCACTCGGGACGGATCGGACTCCACCGTAGGAAGAGGGTGGATAGTCTTCGCCTACTCCATCCACACCTTTGGGAACCCCTGGACCTGCTGGGGTTGGACCCTGGCATCTGGCGCCCGAACAGGGACCCCTTGGTAAGCGCCCCGCACTCGGGACGGATCGGACTCCACCGTAGGAAGAGGGTGGATAGTCTTCGCCTACTCCATCCACACCTTTGGGAACCCCTGGACCTGCTGGGGTTGGACCCTGGCATCTGGCGCCCGAACAGGGACCCCTTGGTAAGCGCCCCGCACTCGGGACGGATCGGACTCCACCGTAGGAAGAGGGTGGATAGTCTTCGCCTACTCCATCCACACCTTTGGGAACCCCTGGACCTGCTGGGGTTGGACCCTGGCATCTGGCGCCCGAACAGGGACCCCTTGGTAAGCGCCCCGCACTCGGGACGGATCGGACTCCACCGTAGGAAGAGGGTGGATAGTCTTCGCCTACTCCATCCACACCTTTGGGAACCCCTGGACCTGCTGGGGTTGGACCCTGGCATCTGGCGCCCGAACAGGGACCCCTTGGTAAGCGCCCCGCACTCGGGACGGATCGGACTCCACCGTAGGAAGAGGGTGGATAGTCTTCGCCTACTCCATCCACACCTTTGGGAACCCCTGGACCTGCTGGGGTTGGACCCTGGCATCTGGCGCCCGAACAGGGACCCCTTGGTAAGCGCCCCGCACTCGGGACGGATCGGACTCCACCGTAGGAAGAGGGTGGATAGTCTTCGCCTACTCCATCCACACCTTTGGGAACCCCTGGACCTGCTGGGGTTGGACCCTGGCATCTGGCGCCCGAACAGGGACCCCTTGGTAAGCGCCCCGCACTCGGGACGGATCGGACTCCACCGTAGGAAGAGGGTGGATAGTCTTCGCCTACTCCATCCACACCTTTGGGAACCCCTGGACCTGCTGGGGTTGGACCCTGGCATCTGGCGCCCGAACAGGGACCCCTTGGTAAGCGCCCCGCACTCGGGACGGATCGGACTCCACCGTAGGAAGAGGGTGGATAGTCTTCGCCTACTCCATCCACACCTTTGGGAACCCCTGGACCTGCTGGGGTTGGACCCTGGCATCTGGCGCCCGAACAGGGACCCCTTGGTAAGCGCCCCGCACTCGGGACGGATCGGACTCCACCGTAGGAAGAGGGTGGATAGTCTTCGCCTACTCCATCCACACCTTTGGGAACCCCTGGACCTGCTGGGGTTGGACCCTGGCATCTGGCGCCCGAACAGGGACCCCTTGGTAAGCGCCCCGCACTCGGGACGGATCGGACTCCACCGTAGGAAGAGGGTGGATAGTCTTCGCCTACTCCATCCACACCTTTGGGAACCCCTGGACCTGCTGGGGTTGGACCCCGGCAATACTGGGCATTTTTAAAAGGACCCTATGGAGTGATGTGATTGTTAGGAGGTGTGTGTCTTTCTCTTTGACTAAACTGTTTTACAACTTTTGAGAAATAGAAATCAACTTTACAGGAATTGGATAATACAGTTGTTTTCTTTGCATAATAATGCAAATGTTTCCTGTTCACAATGAAAATGAATTTTGCATGGTAGACAGTATGTGTCTATAAATCAAAATTTTCTTTGAACCGGTTTGAACATCCTTACTGGTCCTCTTTTAAATGAATGAATTATGTAGAAGCATTTTTTTTTAAATTGATTTTACAGAGAGGAAGGAAGAGGGATAGAGAGTTAGAAACATCAATGAGAGAGAAACATTGATCAGCTGCCTCTTGCACACTCCCTACTGAGGATGTGTCCGCAACTAAGGTACATGCCCCTGACCAGAATTGAACCCGGGACCCTTGAATCCGCAGGCTGACGCTCTATCCACTGAGCCAAACTGGTTAGGGCTGTAGAAGCTTTGACATGTTCTCATCTTATGTTTGTATGAGGGCCATGTTTCCTTTTTGAAACTTTTAACAATTTTGGAGGTTTCACCAACATCCCAATGGATTCACCTGATAAAACCAGGGAAATCATGTTGCTGAAGAACATGAAATCAGATTAGTACATCTCTTTAAAGGGGCTCTGTCTGATTGGCTTATGAAGATAAATACACTAATATAAATTACCTGTTCCTTAAATTCCCAGAAAATAAGGAAGTTAAACTTCTAATACTTTAAATGTGCTAGATTTTTTTTTTTAAAAGAAGCCTTCTTACAGAAATTTCTAGTACAGAATCTAGGTGCAAGAATTAAAGCAAATCTTGGCCAAGTTATACTTAATGTTTGACTAACAAAACACACCTATGTCTTTCCTCAATGTAAAGTATAATACACGTATTTTATTTGAACTCATTCCCTTACTGAGAGAATAATTAATTTGAATCTCCTAAATTTATAGAAGTGTAATGATCAAATGAACTAACATTACCCTTACATAATGTTTTAGGAACATGGAAATGTAAACTTGCTCAACAAAACCGAATAATTATTCTGACAAATTTTTTATATTAACAGTAATTGTTTCATAGTACATCAACTTAAATGAATTTTAAACCTCGTAATATCAAATCGAGCTAATTAATCGTCATAATTCTTGGATGCCTAGATATGTTCTAAGCATAATTTTAAGTTTATATAGTTTTGCTTAGTTTTACAGGCTACAGAGAGGCTACATATCTCTGGGTCAGATCTGCCGGAAGCCGGTCCACCCTTGCTGCTTGACACAGTCGCTGCAGGGAAGAAACATGTGCACAGCTTATGTTTCAAGGGACCTGGCGTATATGGCATATGTTCGCTCCCCGTCTTAGCGCTATGTGTTTTAAACAGGACCACCTCCCCAAGAAAAGTTGTTTCCCCAGGTGAGGATTTTTCCCTGGAGTTAGGGATTAACAGGACTAAGGAAGAGAATAAATCGAGATTAACCTAGACAAGATTAAAATCAACAGAACTAGATAGAGACAGGATTTTTGGCAAAAGTCGGATAAGAAACTATGGAAATAAAACAAGGAACTGTAGAAGGTTACCCAAAACATACCATGTGTGATTATAGAGGCATGCTTATAGGATCAAATAGTATAAATACAGATGTAACAGGACAATAAAGGGAGAACTTGGCTATGCTGATCAACTGAACACTGTTGTCTCCGTGTCATTCCTTCTTCGCCGATTACATCCACACCTTCGGGAACACCTGGACCTGCTGGGGCTGGACCCCAACACAGATCAATAAGCTTAGCCTTGTTGTTGCCTCATATAAAAAGGTG